TGTGACCATATGTTGGACAGACTGAAGCTCGGCTTGGTCTACATCCTTAGGAGCGTGTTGCGATGTCACCATCGGAGGACTGGAATCGACCTATTCCATCTGCACATCATCAACGATTTTGATGTTTTTAACACATATTCGTGGGGCCGGAGATGTTTTGTTCATTTATTTATATATCAAATAATTGTTAATATTGTATACTTAATCAAATTAGCAAATTATATTTATATAATTACATAAATAATTTTCATTTGGTAATTATCAAAATGTTAAATATTAAATAAATAATTATATAATTAAATGTTACGTAATTGAATTAAATTTATATAATTAAATAAATAATTTTAATTTGGTAATTATCAAAATTAAATAGTTTATTTTATTAAATTAGCAAATAAAATTACGCTGAAATGATTGTCCAAATATTGTTCATTTAACAGCAATACCATTACATACTCAACTAATTGTCATCCGAGAGAATTTGACTGGTACAAGTTTGGTGAGTATGGCCGACTGTTCTACATCTGTCGCACCAACGCGATAGAGAAAACTCTCCAGTGGAGGGTATTCTAAAAGTTCGTGGAAGTCTAGGGCCACGCGGTTCAACTACCGGTGGCGAAAAACTATTAAGTGGGATAATACGATGAGGAACTTCCCAATCAGATTTGTTTGGTAAAGGAAATATAGTCTTAGCATATGCAGCTCTCCAATAATCAACGTGTAATAATGAAAGCATAAAGTTCTCGCTGCAAAGCTTATGTTCATAGATACCGCGACTGCATGCCCACATGGAAAACTCTCCAACTGAAATCGAGCACAAGNTGAGCAGTTATGCAATTCCGCACGTCGATCGTGAAACCACTGCTGCAGCTTGGTACGGATGTTCTCAATTATTGCGAGAATTGAAAACTCTCAATCCTTCTTGAACAATGCATTCAGAGACTCCACGTTGTTCAACGTCATCAAGTTGTACCGACGTCCAAGAAAATGTGATCGCGCCCAATGTTCTATCCCCATTTTTATAAGAAATCACATGCCGACATCGACTTATTTTCTATTTCAACCATAAACTTATTACGTTCTTCGACATTGTAAGCTTCGGTCGCCCTCCTGAACAATGAAACGATGTCTTGGCCCCGGTATCTAGTCTTCAAATTACCTTGTATATGGTTCATGCAGTATCCATGATGTGTCTCAGGGAAAACTTCAGTAATAACATTTATTAGAGACTGACCCCGATCAGTTACGAAGACAAGATCATCGACTTCCCTGAGCTTCGTAAAGAACCAACGCATTGACAAATCCTCTATTTTTGCCTTTTAGGTATTTAAAATTATATTTTGGTTTTTTTTTAATGCTATTTCTTGGTCAAATTCCAAACTTGAATTATGGCATTTTCAACAGGCTATTCACACATATTTCCTCTGAAATTCCGTCGTGCAAATGGACGGGAAGAAATAGCCCAAATAATGTGGACCCATTTTTTAAAATAATTTGCCTCAAACTCAATTTTAATTATACATTATTTCGGTAAAAAAATAATTTTATATGTAAACTCAATTTCTTTTTTACTTTTTTACTGCACATTCTCTAAAAAAGTCACTATTACATAACTTCTTTTAAAAAAGAATAGAGCTCCAACATAGCCGTAAGGTAAAGCCCATAATGTTCCATAGTATAGTTGAAATGGAGTTATAAATTGAATAGGACTTTTATGGTTCATTTAGCAAGACTTCTGTTTTAGTTTTGAAAAAGAGCTCTCTTTGAATCAACTTTTTTAAAAAATAACTTTGTGCCATACTGATTGATGCTTAGCATTGTAGCTAGATATCATTATTTCTTATCTTCGACTTTGTGTGGCCTACAGTCTGCATAAATGTTCTCATTTCCACAGTGAAAAGTCTTATCTTACCTATTCGAAGAGAACGGTAAGTAAGATTCTCCTTCCATATTAGCGAGTAGATAGTCTTATCCTACCCACTATGAGTATGAGAACAATTTTGCTATAATCTATACTAGTGAAAATTGCAAACCGTGGAGATAGCATATTTGTACTTAATTGATCAACTGGTAGATTCATAAATTATAATTTTGTCTACGACATATTTGCTCTTAGTTTTATTCAGTCGCATTTTTAAATATCATTTTCGATAGGAGTTTAAGCTATTGAAATAAAAATTACACTTGAGACACAGTTTTTCTAATCCACTAACATATTTTGGAATTTCAAGCAACGTTTGACAGCCTTATCGAGCATATTGCAACTTTATTGAAGTAATAATCTAATAATCTTGTATTTGATAAAACTAGCATTTTGTAAATCTTCTTCCCTTTAAGCTGTTCGATGGCCCTTATTTGGCCAAAACAATATTTTGAATAATGATTTAAAAAGAATGCGTGGTTAAAAGTAGAAATTTTTTGAATTTACATGTAAAATATTTTATTGTATGAATGTAATTAAAAATGAATATGTAGAAAAAAAAATTCAAATAATAGTTGTCAAACACGAGCTAACTTTTACTAAATGCGTCTTTATTTATTCCAGCTTTATATTCTTATGAAATAACTTGCTGATGTTTTATCCTTTCAAGTTACAAACCTGCCTATAATACTTTGTGATATTATTTCTACATATCGAAGTAGTATTTTGAGTTGACACAAGTGTAAGAACTTAGAGAGGACGACTCGAGAATGCAAGAACGAAGCTTTGTTTGCCCTATTGAAGCTTAGTTCATTTGATACTTCCAATATTATAGCTTTTAATCGAAGTTGTTCGTTATTTCCATCCATGGAAGGAGTTAGCGAACAAAGGAGGCTGGTGAAATTGTTTTTGATTGGATTAATATTTGGGAAAACTGTAGCGAAGGTCCCAAACATTTCATTTTATTGCAGAATACACTTTAACCTTTAATTTTTGCAATCACAGTCCCGAACATTTCACTTTAATGGCAACCGGAGTTCATTGGACAGATTCCGTCCAAAATTCCATTAATCAACACTTAAATTGAAATTTTGACTCAAATTGACAAATTAAATGAGAGGTAAAATTGTCAATTTATATTTCTATAATTAAATAAAAAAACTTCATCTTCTCCAAACCTCACCCCCACTATGAAACCCAATCAAAATCAACCTTACCTGATAACCATGGATCAGTACTATTCGATAGAGCTTGAGTTTGTAGCCATTTAACTGCACCGAGTGTGTTGTCCATGGCTTCCGAGAGGTGGTGCTCCTCTCCAAGCGATAATCAAGGGAGATAACCACCACGGGTAGTACTGAAGTGAGTTAGAGGCCTCTGTTGTTACAGTTGGACGACCAATCTAAAACCCACCACCACTTATTCCCCCATCAACGGCTTCCCTCAAGGATGGGCATGGGTTGTGTCGTTTTTTGCCTCAATCCAATACGATCGGTTTGAGCAAAATTTAACTCAACACAACCCGTGTAAAAGTTGAAACTCAACCCAATCAAATATTGATCGATTTTGGACAACTTGTCAACAAAGATTAAAATCATCCAATTTTTGAGTTTAAAGCAATATTAATATAGTCATTCAATGTCAAT